TTTCTTCAAACCTAAGAACTGCAAGGGGGAGGAGGGGAGACAGGTGTACATGAGGTGTAAGGGGATTGTGCATCGGGGCATGGGGGTGTGGAGGTCCAGGACAGAATGTAGACCTTGTCTGAAAAGGTTTCCCCTTCCATACAGACACCTAAAAGCTGGATAAATCTGTACGGATACTCACACTCTGAAGCTGTTGCACGTTGGGTAGGGGCACTAAGACCTCAGTTAAAACATAACAGAAAATCATTATGGTTTTCCAGTACAGTAGTACACACCCTCTCAGGCTTGGGCACTCCCCCGATTTTCTTTCTTTTGTGAGGAGAGGAAACAGAGCTTCATTTCTTATGACCTCACTAAAGATGAAGATATGCCTAGACCATGGGTCCTCAAACTATGGCCCACAGGATAGAGGTTTTGGACTTTCCGCGCGCCTGCGTGTGTGGCGAGGCAGGGGCTTGCTCATGCAGAGATCATTTTGGACTCGCTTAGAGAAAAGGATCTCTGTGCGAGCAAGCCTCCATCTTGCAGTGTGTGCACTCAGCTGCAGCTTGGTTGCAAGAAGATCATTTTGGAATAGCTCGGAGAAAAGGCTCTCCATGCGAACAAGCCGGCACCGCGCCTTGCTTGAGCTCCTCCCCGCCCCGCCCACACCACCTTGGCGGCCCGCACCCATCACCAGTACCTTTCAACTGGCCCCTGTTAAAAAAGTTTGAGGACCCCTGGCCTAGACCATGGCACTGGGGGGGGGGGTTAACCCCTATTTCCTCTTCTGCATCCAAACTGGGCTCGCTCTATATTTGCCATTTCCTAAAATGTAAAGCAGTAGTAGATAGGAATTTAGATCTTTGCCTTTTAGTTAGGCTCTTAGTTACTACACCATATCATCGATGTGGCACTCCCCTTTCCATAATGCCAGAATCCAGGGTACCCCATGCAGTTTATCAGTGCGACATTCAAGACAGGTAACAGGATATATTTCTCAAGCCAGTACACAGTTTAACTATAAAATTCACTACCAAAAAAAAAAAAAAAAGGTTGTGATGTAGTCCAATTTAGTTGGCTTTATTTATTTTATTTAAAACATTTTTACCCCCTCCTTTGCACAAGCCCCATGATGGCTTACAAAAATTAATTAATAAAATACAATTAAACATTCAATAACAACTCAAAACTAACAATAACAATTCAAAACTAAAACAAAGAGGAAAAAAGAAAGAAAAAGAAAATGTGACTATATAAAATGTTGTTGTTGTGGGGATAAGATAGAAGAGGAGATGTAAGCTGCCTTGATCCCTTTGTAGGAAAAGGCAGGATATTAATCAATCAATCAATCAATCAATTTAATTATTAAAATGACGAATAAATAAAAAGGTCTTTACTTGGCACCAGAAAGAGTAAAGTAAGAAGGAATTAGACAATTCTATTGAGGATAAGGTTATCAATGGCTACTGTTCACGATCGTATTGTACCTCCAACATTAAGAGGCAGTATGGCTTTCTATACCACTTGCTGGTGAAAAGCAGGTTGCTTACCTGTAACTGATGTTCTTTGAGTTGCCATCTGTGCAATCACACATGTGGGTTCTGCGCCTGTGTAG